TACGCAAGTTGTACTAATAGCACCGTGGAACCCCAGACACCACCGCTGCTGGAGACCTGCCAGCTCCCTCGTACCCACACACGGTACTTCTGCACTACAAAATTAAACATGCTAGCACAAAGCAACCACCTGCAAGTTACCACAGCTACAAGCCAGCAGACAAACCGTCTAGGGAATAAGCTGTAATACAGAGACTTAATTTAGATCACTCCAAAAAGATAATTGAATTACGGCAAATTTCATAGTTCCGCCATGCAATTCAAGGCAGGGAACCCTCAGGATTACATCTCATTGCCTTCGTTTTATAAATACTACAAAGCCTCTGACAGCCACAGCACTGTATCGCATTCCCAGACCCAGCTGCTGAGCAGCTGCTGACAAGAACCCATTCCCACCTCCTGACAGGCAACGAGCTAGCTGCTCCCCAATGCGTGTGCTCCCTTCAGAGCTTGAGATTAGAAGCTGTGATCCTCCCAGCAGCCTCTTCAACTGCCTACAAATGTGCTCGGGGATATGGTTTCCACCCTCCGTTTCCAGCTTCTGATCCATCTTCCAACAGCACGAACAAAAGGGTTGGTTTAATCTTTCTTTGTGGAGGCCCTTCGGAAATGGCCTTGCCCCTGCCGCAGGAACCCGGCTGCCTTCGCTCCTGCCACCCCACAGCAAGGGCGAGGGCAGAGCGCTCTCCGCCAGAGCTCCTCGGTTCACGCCTAGAACACGGCAGAGAGACCCCTGCAAACTCCCATCCCGCGAACCTCAGGGCAGAGGAAGGAGCTCGGTTTGGCTGCCATACCTCCATGCAGGTTTGCTGAGAGCACAAACGGGTAAGTCTTTAACCAGGTCATGACAGCGAGAGTTTCTGGCTGCGGAGGGTCTGCCACATGGACAAACTGATCCGGGAAGTTTCGGTTCAGGTCATAGTTGTTGCTGTTGTTTCTGCCAACGGTACCTCCTCTGTCTCCTGAAAATTAAACACAAGTTCAAGCTTGCACCCTATGCAAGTTCCCACTTCAGTGCAGAGGCTTCATCCTCTTAACTACACATCTTATGATTATCAGTTAATGGAAAACAGCGGAGAGCACAACAGTGCTGGCTTCCTACAGCCCAGAGCGAGGGGACACCCACACTCCCCTTCAGCAACAGCCCTGCTCTGTGCACAGAGGTGTCCGGAGGCCCTTTCAGCGGCTGTTTGCACAGGCTCTCCGTGCCAGTCAGACCACAGCTAGCAGAGAGGCAGCGAACCATGAACAATACCAGCAGCCGGATGTCACGACCGCAGAAACCTCAGAGCTCACCTTCTCAAACCAGCCGGACAAGTTCTCTGTTAAACCCAAGCAGAGCTCTGCTTCCAGAAAATCATTCTAGACAGACTTGGTTCTGCCAATCTGCAAAAGCCACGCAGTTTTAAGGACTTCCCTGCAGGATGTTTTTGCCAATTTCAACATCACGATAAAAGTCTATATTATCCTTGGACAAGTGCTCTGCAGACAGCCTGGCTCCCAAATCACATGTTACTAAGAGCATGGACCAAAGCACAGCAAGTATGAGCTGTGTCAAAGGAATGTCTTTTTTTAAAATAAGCCTTGGGATAGCCCCAAACCATAAGGGGACCCAAACAGGGGCAGCATATAGCACTGCTGAAGCAGAAGAGCTCTCTCCAATACCTTCAAGCATCAGTTTGACCGCCTACATCCTGCACTGACCCACTCACCCCACAGCACACTCCAAGTCCCTTCCCAGCCTCCCTGTGTGGAGAGCACTTCTGCGCCAGCAAGGCTTCCAGATTTCTCAGAGAGGTACCATGAACCCAAACGCTTGTTCTCAGAGCTAGAAACCCCATAGATGTTTCAGCGCAAACAGCAATACCTTCCTGGGACTTCTCGTAGCCATCAGGGTTCATGGATGGCATGATGTGGATCCGTGTGTTCCGGACCAGGTCAGTCACTTCAGGATCTGTGCCAAAGTTCTTGCAGAGGTACTCGATGAGGTTCAGGAGAAGCTCACGCCCGACAACTTCATTCCCATGCATGTTACCGATGTACTTGAACTCTGGCTCACCTGCATACACACAGCCACACCGAAGAGACAATTATAACCACTTATGTTAAAGCTTGGAGACATCTCAGCACCCCGAGCATTGCTCTCTCAGGCCTCTCTGCAGGGCTGGAGAGGGTTTACCTAAAATTTACCCTTCTGCTTCCACAACACCAAAAATGACGAACACTGTTTCAGGGAAGCCCCCTGGTCTGTCCCCAGAGCTCCACACCAAGTGTAGATGTCCCCAGCAACACTCTAACTCACACCAGTGCCACCCACTGCACCTGGTCGTTTTAGAAAGGATACTGCAAGAAGCAGCTCAGTCTCTCTTCAGACAGGTGCCAGCTCTACGCTCCTTTTTGCTCTACGCATGGTCTCCCAAAGCAAAGGGTCTGTTGCTACTGCCTCGCAAGGATCTCCCACGTTACCTGCTTCATGGATGCCAGGGTTGTCAGAGACCTCCATGACATAGAGCTCCCGCAGCTCCACTGACTTGCCCACAGAGTAGAGTCGGGTTATGTTGGGGTACTCGTTGGCGTACCGCCGCAGAAAGATCTCCATGTCTGGGAAGTGATGGTGGCGGAAGTCCACAGGCTGGATGGGGTGATGGAGAGAGGTTGGGCTTGGGGCCTCTGCCTGCACCGGGGTGGAGGTGACGGTAGAGACAGGAGCAGGAGTCGCTGTGAACTGCGTGACGTTAAGAGCTGGTGGCATTACAGTTGGCTGCAAGGAGAAATCCACTTCTGTTGCAGCTCCCTCCTTCACCTCGATGTTCTCTCTGGTAACTGGTGCGTAACTGTGAAAAAAACCAGCTGGCTTCAGCAAGGAGGCTCTGCAGAACAGAGGCCAACCCCCCCCGCAGCCTCTCCACTACTCCAGCCTACTCCTCCCAGCCCAAATGCACTGGGACGTTAAGAGCTATGCGAGAGGTTCACCAGCGAACAAGCTGACGGGACTCATCCCACTGCCGCCAGACCCAACTACGCTGGCTGTCCTTGCTGTGTCACAGAGGCACAAGTTCCTCTTTACAGACTCACTGGGGAAGAAGCCCCGGGCATATCACAGGGCTACCCCGCGGCCAAGCTACACGTTCACACCCAGACTTGAGTCAACACAAACTCTTACTGCCCTTACTCCACTTTCTCCCTTTACCCAAAAAGTAAGATGCAGGCTGATAGAAGCAATCAAGCAAAGGTGACAGAAATGCTGTGCATCCAAGAACACCCCGCTGCAGATGGCACAGGGTGAACCAACACAGCTGCAGCTCTAAGCTCGAGTCCTTTACTGCTGCAGCTTCCAGCCAAGCCCCTTAAACACACGAGATGCTTTGGGGGAAGAAATCAAGTGAAGGAACATGAGCAGCTGGCAGCGTGGATGCAGGCTGCCACAGAGACATTACCCCAGCACGACTGCGGTCACGTTGTAGGTCCCAGGCACAAGCAGTCGGTAGTAATCACCAAATTTGCCTGCTGTGATGTTATGAGCAATACCGGCAACAACAATGGTGGCGTTCTCCAGGCCAGCTCCAGTAACTGCATCCCTGACAAAGCCTTTCACACCAATGTGGACCTGAGGAAAACAATGACAGAGCCTGGCTGAAGACAGGCAACATCAGGGGAATCATGTCCTCGCCCAGCAACACCCCCTACGCTTCCCCAAAGGCAGCAGAGCAGGACAGCTGCCAGGCAAAGACACACAAGGGCCCGTGATTCAGACAGTGCTTGGCCAGATGGCACGGACAGGAATTCCGGCGTGCACTGGGAAGGCAGCGAGATCTCCAAACTGATCCTCCCTAACAAATCCTCTTTTTCATTGACATGGGCACACAAGAATATGAACATAGCGGGGTTACAGGCCACACCGAGGGACAAAATGCAGCTGCCTTCCTTCCCAGCATAAACTGGCACCCATTCAACTCATGCACGGAGACAGCCTGGCAGAGGACTCAGCAAGCCAAGGTCTCAGCAGTGCTGGCTGCTTTTGAACTTGACTGGAGATTCATGGCACCGAGGTCATACAGGTACCCTGCATTACTTGGCGAGATCTGCGCCGATCGGTCCCTCTGTTGAACACTGAACTCCTCAAGGCCCCTCTGAGTGGGGCTCTGCCATCGCGGAGGATGTGGGAACTGTGGCACAACCACAGAGATACACAGCAGCTTTGTAGCCACCGACCTCCGCACAGCAACTGCAGCAGTTGTGTTACCACACGCAGCAAACAAAGCCACAAGAACAACTGAACACGGTGCTCTCAGACCACCACGGACACGTGGGTTTCACAGCCGCTGCCCCCATGCCCGTCCCAGCCCGCACTACCTTCTCAATGAAAACATTGCAGCAGGACAGCTCCAGCGTGATCTCAAAGCAGTTGGCCCACACGTAGTTGTAATCCTGCATCCCACCTGAGAAAACGAGGCAGAGACATGTCCTAAGAGCAACGTACAGATATCTCTCCACAGGATGCAGAGTTTTCCCTGTCCTTTGGCCCCCCACAGCATCTCACTGTGATGCCACCCCTGCTCTGGAGTGAACAACCTAAGGAGAAAAGTCAGATCAGATCATGGTGAGAGCCTGTGCTGGCGGAGACTGAGCTCTGTGTCTCCCAGTAACCGGCACACTGGGCCATTCAAATCAACCGCAGACACCTCAAAGATGACAGTCCCTTCAGTCTTATTGCTCTGCCAGCTGAATCCAGTAGCACAGCACTTGGAAATTCACATGATTTCATTTCACTGTGAAGACATTTTCCAGACGCTACAAATCCTGGATGCCAGGACAGGAACATCGGAGTTTGAACATCACTGCTGCCGAGTCCTTCACTATGCGCTCCAAGCCACCTTTAGATTTGTGAGGTTTTCCTGCAAGAGAAGTCACTCCACCCAAAATGAGCTTCAGGCCCCGATACAAAAGAACACATTAGACTATCAGCTTGGGAGGTGGCAGCTCAAAACTGCATGATGAAATCAGTTTCAAGGACCACACAGCTGTTCTCCTCAAAAAATCTCAGCAAACACTAGACGAGACGAGAGCAATGCTTCCCCTTCTCTACTTCCCCTGCTGCTCTCTTCCTCAACTCCTTATCCAAAAGTCTCCATTTACTTGATATTTAGAGCAGCCCTACCCAAAGTCTGACAAGGTCTGACATGGTGACAGCACGCAGTGAACTGCGGTAAGTCACCTTCAGGAAACTCTCCCCTTGATCTAGGAGGGCGGTGACACCTCCTTCACCGCTGAGGACTCCTGTGACCCCAACCAGGTCCTGCAAGAGGAGGACACAGACTTGTCCACCTGGGAAACTCGCTCTTTTCCCTGAGCCCTGCAGCCAAGTCATGGGTCTCCTCCCACATTTCCTCTTTAAGGCAGCAGTCTCAATTAATTTAAGGATGTCGCAGCACCTGGGGACAGCTTGCTGGCTCAGTGTTAAACCAGCTGAACCTCCAGAAGCACCAGAAAACAGGAGTACAAAGAACTGTTTCCCAGTATTAAGCTCATCGTGCTATTCTCACCTTTCAGAGAAACCACAGGCACTGCTATGAAACAAAAAGGTCACCTTGTTCAGCGAGCGTCCTGACCCCATTTGCTGAAGTATACATTCAACCCTCAGCAAGCAAACCTGTTCCTCAAACAGGAATGAATCACGTACCAGCAGGACTTGAGGTCTGCAGGTACCAACACTCAGGAGCTGGAGCTCAGACTTCAGCGTGCTGCTGAAGGCTGCAAATGTTCAGCCCTCTAAACATTCATGGGAGACTTCAATAGCAAAAAAAGGACATTCCAAAACCACCACAAGTATGAGAAACAGGTTTCAGAGTCACCCTGACAGATACCGCCACATGACTGTAGCCAGATGTCATAGCCACATGAGAGGAGCGTTCCCACCACCACCAGCAGAACAGGCAGTTGTGTCAGTATGGGAAATGCACCACACTTAAGTTTTATGCATACTGATGATATATTCTGAGTTACACAATCCTATACAGTTACAATCCAGAGAGACCGGCATGCCATGGCCTTGGCCACCACTGCCCAGGCGGCTCCATCCCAACCTGCACAGCAGCGCCTGGGACCACTCAGCCCACAGACCTCCGGCCACCAAGTGAACGACTCCCACCGGTGCCAACTGGACCCAGGGACACAGGCAACGGGTGAGTTGAGGAAGTCCAACTGTCTCTCAGAAGCCCATCTGTCATGGAATGGTGATACATTTGCCCCGCAGGAGCCAGATGCAAACTTCAGGAGGAAGGAAAGCAGAAGACAGCCCGTGGCCACGTGTCGTGGCACCAACATGCAGGACCCCAGCAGGCAAGCCTGTAAGAAAGGCATACTTTGTACTCCCATCCTTTGCTTTGCCCACCAAAGTGCTGCATCAGCACTACGCTAATAAACCTCGCTTGCTTTGTCTGAGCAGTTTCCTAATCACTCACAAGCTCCTTCACGAGCGAGGGACCCTCCACGGTGCTGACCACTTTACCGGTCAGAGTGGATCAATACCACAACGCAAATGCACTACCTGGCATCTGCAGAGGCTGTGTTAATGCACGACCAGGAAAAGATATCAGCAGCGCTCTACCGAGCAAAGGAGTCTTACAATAAATGTGACGGCTCTGAGCACCCACTGTCCCAAAAGGTCAGGGACGGCTGCTCTGAATTCAGCAGCTCCACCGCACCCGGGTAACCCAGAGAGGGACCGACAGCATAAAGTCGGATTTAGAAGAACAGACCCCCGAGAAGATGTGTGGGATGGTACCAGATCAAAGATGTCCCAGTTCCTCTCAGTTCTTCTGGGAGCCTGCTGCTAAGGGAACATGAAGCTTTTATTATAACAAATCAAACATCACTTACCGCCAGAAAGAGAGCACTGCAGCTCGTGCACGGGCTGAGATCAAAACAGGAAAGAGACTTTTCTGGCCAGCACAAGGGGCCAAAAAGTGTTTGAGGACTTTAAAACTCTCAAACTCCGTTCAAGAGGTTAGAGGAACGAGGCCTGCAAATCCCATACGTGCTCAGTTTTATTCGGCTCCTGTTACCAGGCTCAGAAAAGTAACCCACAGCGGGGCTGCTCTCTCGCCCGTAAACACCACGCAGAGTGAAACAATTTGCCAGCCTATAACCATCTGTTCATAGCAGGACGCTAATGCATTTGAAAACATCCATACGTAAACCAGAGCCATTATGAAGCATATTTAGTGCTTCATCTGCCATTCAAGCAAATTTAGGACAGATGCTCCCCCATAATAGAGCAGCAACGGTCTAAATTAGAGCTCGCTACATCAATTTTGGTAAAAGTGTCTCTTGGAGAAAGTAGTCCATTGCATGCTTGAAAATTTGGATTGTATCCACTGCACATATTTGGCCTTCATGCGGCCCCGTTGCAGAGCAGGACAGTTATTTTTACAGCATACGGAATTACATATTTTTCCATATACCATCTGCACAGCCTCTCCTGGCTATGCAGATGATCTGGAGGTGTAAAGAGAGACCTGCCCACAGTCCAGCGTTAGCGCAGCGCTACGTTCAAAGGTCAGAGCCGAAAAAGCACACCCAAAGCAGAGAGCTGTCGGGCTACACTGCTCCTACCCTACTTACCTGTTTGGGTAATATCTGGGATAACTTGCTGGATCAATTCCAGCATTTTTTAATCAGAGGGTGTCTTTTAGCCCACACTGCGTAAAGCTGCAGCCTCCCAAGGAAGCATCATCCCTGCTTCACCGGTGAGGAACGGAAAGCAAAAGCCAGCAGCTTGCAGTCACAGCAAGCCAGTCCCTGCCTGGCAGTAGGTCACAAAAATACTCAGAACAAACCTCTGTCCCACTCCTCGAGCACCAGGACTGCGGTTCAGGCAAGGATCCCAGCCCTCCCGCGGCACAAGCACTGCAGAGTTCACTCTGACAAGCACGCCTCTGCGCCCTGCCAAGCTCCGCACGGGCAGGCAAGCAGGAGAATGCGGCTCTCTAGAGTCAAACCCGGGGATTCAGATACCACAAATACACCACGTGCCAGGAGAAGCCTTCCAGGCCAGCCAGGAAGGACTCTATTTTCAAACTGCGCTATGCAGAAGCCTCTCTAATTCCAGCTCTCGCTGCAGCTGACATTAGGAGATGAGACCTGCGGCTAAGTCAAAGCAGAGAGATGGTCCTGTCTGCTCTGCAGAGAGAGCAGATGGCACAAAGCAAGCCAGAGATGTGATTAACTACGTGGCACAGATCGCTCACTCTGTTGACAGAACCGACTGTCTCGTAGCACGAGACCGGGCGAGCACCAGCACCAAACAGGCAGAGGAATGTTTTGGTCCATTAGTCTGAAATCATTAACACTCAGAGGAGGTGAAGTTTGAGGCTCCAGCACCTGCACCACACCGCCTGGAGTGGCACAGCCCCGTAGCCTTCCCGGGGCTCTCTCAAAGAGGAGGGCAGAACCCTCCCAAGAGCTGTACCACCAGAAGTTTGTGTTAGATGTGAAAAAAGGCATCAGACCCCTGAACCATCAAGCCAATACTTTTCTCAAGAAGAAAGAAAAATTTGCAATAGGAATTTTAGAAACACACAAACACATAAGGGCAGATAATCATGCACATCCCAGAAAGACGTGGCTGAAAACTTCTACCAGAGCTCACGCTGTGCATCCGCCGTCTGCCATGCCCAGGAAACACAGGCCACCGCAGTGATGCCACCAGCACCCGCTGTTCTCAGCACTCATTTGAATTGCTCCGAATTTGACGCCTCTAAAAGCTGTTCAGAAGCTCAGTGTGGCTAGTAACCACAGTCGAAACAACCTAGTAAGCACACATGCAACCTAAATCCACTTTCAACCCGAGAAGTGCCTTCTGATAGACACCAGAAGCCATCTCAAACACTCGGACATGAGTCAAACTAGCAAGGAAAATAACTTCCAGGAAGGGACTGCAAATAACAAGAAGACCTTCCACAGCTGCCCACAAAATACCCCATTGAACATTACATTGAACTCAGTTTCTGAATTGGGCTCTTTACAAAATAAAGACGAGCGTGTCCTTCCCACAGGTAAGACTTAAACAGTTCCTTAACCACTTTCCAAACATCACCTGGACCATGCACCAGTCCAGACTTGCACGTATTTTCTTGATCTGAACCAGCCACTCGGTAGTTAAAAGCCCAAGAGGTTAAAAAGGAAGGAAGAGTAAGAGCGTGTACGACAGAGATAGCCTCGAAAAAGCGCCCCAGTCACAGACTTATCTATAGCAGCTGGAATGCAGAAGCCAAATTCAGCTGTCTGGCGGAAAGCCATCTTTCTCTGTGCACACTTGACCTTAACAATTACTCCAATGGTTTGTACTTGCCACCTCGGTTTGACACACGTAAGAGGCTGTTTGCAAATTCAAATGGAAGTTAATGGGGTCTGGCACCAGCGTAAACCTGAACTGGTAACTCTGGGACAATGAATCCCATAGCAGTTGCCCTTCCAGCATGTTTGATTTCACATGATAAAACGTGGCAGGAAAATTTCCACCTGTTGAGACATTATGTTCTCATTTCTTTGTTTTTCCTGGCTTTCGTTCACTTGGAGCCTGCAGTCTCTCCTGGCACAACCTGATCCGCAGGCCACAAGCGTGTGCCCCGCACCGTTCCCACAGCCGCGTGCTCCGGTTACCTCTAGAGCTCAGCCCAGCCCGGGGAGCTCCCGCGGCGCACTGGGATTTCCCCAGCCTCATTTTACCGCACGTTTTAAATTCTACAATCACTGGGAAAGGCCTCCTGGTCGGAATACGAGCCTCAGCAGTCCTTGGCACAGAGGTGAGCGAGGCCGATGACTCAATGCAGCCACCGTGGTGGTTTTGCTGCTTCTGTCACACATGGCGTGCAATTGACTCCCCTTTGCGGACTCTTCATCCACTACTGAATAGAAATCATAGAACCATAGAACTGTTTCGGTTGGAAGAGACCTTCAAGATCATCAAGTCCAACCGTTAACCTAACTCTGTCAAGTTACCACTAACCCATGTCCCTCAGCACTACATCTACATGTCTTTTAAACACCTCCAGGGATGGCAACTCAACCACTTCCCTGGGCAGCCTGTTCCAACGCTTGACAACCCTTTCGGTGAAGATATCTTTCCTAATATCCAGTCTGAATCTAACGCCTAAAACCCCAAAGGGACACAGTAACTTCACACAACAGCAAAACACACGTGTACTGGCCTCTGCAGTATCTGTTAGCTCCCCCGTGCTCTTCCCTGGATCTCCGCTCCCGTGGGTTACACTTCACATGAACTCCTCAGCCCGGGAGGTGCTCCAAGGGCCGCCAACACCCTCCACGTGTGCATCTCCAACAGCAGTAAGTCGTAAATCACCACGTTGGGGAGAAACCGCACAGGTCTGCCAACCTCAGCACTGCTCCGTTCTGAGAGCTCGTGTCAGCGCACACTCCCGTTGATCTCTGCCCGTGAATCGCCTACAGCCATCAGCGCGGAGCCCGAGACTGCAGCTTGTCACAGCAAAAGGGTTTATTTCCAGCAGAGGCTGGAAGCTGGAGGCTGTTGGATGTAATATAAACCACGGCGACGGCAGCACAGAGCAAACAGGTCTTCGGTTCACACCTTGCTGTTTCCTGAGAAAGGAAAGTAGGTGAAACCTCTGCTCGCTGAGAAGGCAAAGGCAGCCCGAAAGGCTCACGCGCCAGCGCCACAGCCACAAGCAAACCTTGCACGAGCCCAGCGGCTCACATCCTAGCAGGAGGATGAAGAAGTTAAACCTACAGCAAAAAGTGCTGCTCGCCGGGGACAGGGGGACCCAGGCCCAAAGCTCTGGAGTCACCCTCCCTTCAGAGGGCAGAACCACAGCCTGGCAGGGGTTGGAGAAGACCTTTGGAGACCATCTAATCCACTCCCCCTGCCAGAGCAGGGTCACCCACAGCAGGTCGGACAGGAACACGTCCAGGCGGGTTTTGAATGTCTCCAGAGAAGGAGACTCCACCTCTCTGGGCAGCCTGTGCCAGTGCTCCGTCAGCCTCAAAGGAAAGAGGTTTTTTTCTCATGCTGAGACAGAATTTTCTCTGTTCCAGCTTGTGCCCGTTGCCCCATCGCTGGGCACCACTGAAAAGAGTCTGACAACACCCATCCTGCTTCGTTACAAGGGCAGAAAGCCTCAGAGCTGCAGCTAACAAACCTCCCGACGGAGATGTTTGTTGATAACAACTGCCACCAGAACAAGGCAGCACAGATCATCCAGGATATCCTGTTCCCTCGTAAGCAAATTCACCAGATTACACAAACCTTCCTCCTGCTGGACTTTTCACAGCAGCGGAGCGAACCTTGAGCCAGCAAACACCGGGGCTGATGTGCTCGACAGGGTGGAGGGAGGGAGACACCTGCTAGAGAAAGAGGTAAACCCACATCTTGTTTGAACACGACATCTTATTTGACCAGTGAAATCCTGGGGAATGATTCAGCCACCGCTGAAAACGAAGACTTCCTCTTCCAGCACAGAGATGATGTGATCAGGCCCAGTACTGGATCCCTCTCCCTCCTTCCCAAGCCAGGTGGATGCAGGGCTAAGATAGGACTCCGCTTGGAAGCCCACGTTTAGAAAAGACACTGTCGTCTTAGAATTTGTTAAGCTGCAAGCTCTGGAGGACAAACAACGCCTGACTTCACGGCTTGCTCTGCACTCCTGCCGTCATCCCTCAGCCCTAGCACGAGGGAAAGCAGAGCAGTCCGGGCACAGCAAAACAACGCAACTTCTTTGCATCATTTATGCAAGGTTTTTGTTGTGTCCTCACCACAGAAGTTTCTCCACCGTCTGGCGAGGCCACGGTTGTACAACATCCGCTGAGGGGGCACGGCAATGGCGTAACTTCTAATGACACGGCCAAGATTTCTCTTCCCGCCAGCCCACAGAGCCTTTTCCACGAGAGCATCTCGTCACAGAAACTGCCGTTTAAATGCCATTTGCAGCAAAACTGACACACACAGAGCAGCCCACCGCGTGTCCGAGCCAGGCCAGCCTCCTCCACACAGGCAGAGCGGTGGCACCAGGAGGTAATTTGCTTATATTCAGATCACCTCCAAAGCAGCCGCCTAACAGAGGGAACAGGAGCTCCCCTAGAAGCCCCAGCAGAGCGAATTTTGGATCCCTTCTAGATCCCGCCGCGCCGGTGGATGAGAACAGGCCGTGCCGGTTGTTGCCATCTGCACAGGTCTAACAGCAGAGCAGTTCACAGAAGAGCTGCCTACCTCATTTCCAGCGAGAGCGGCTGGGTTAGCTCAGACCACACATCTAAACCATTTTACGCAGTTTTACAGCAGGCTATTCTATAATCATTTACAAAATTACAGGTTTGGAGGTTAAAAAAAAACGCACAGAACACTAGCAGGGGTCTAATATCTTTACCAATAGTTTCCTCTTTCCTGTATCAAAATTTAGTAACCGTCTGGAGACCTAATGACAGTTCATTTGGCAAATTAAGCCTTCCACGTGCAGGATAACTCTCCAGCGACTAACAGGGTCAGGAAGAACCCTCCAGTTTGCTGTGATCTCTTCCCTACAAACACCTCCCAAGCTGTGATTCATCAGGCACTTACTGGTGTGCCTGTGATGCCACTTCCCCTCATTTCAACCTGCTAGAACGCATCCAAAGTTAAAAACATCACTTCAGCCACCGTCCTTTCCTCTGTGATAATCACCACTGGTTTGGATGTCAGCGCTCAGTGGGAGCAAGAAACTATTTTTGTAAGACACTGTTAGGCGATCCAAATGAGCGGAGTTAGAGCGATTCACCAGCACAGCTTACCTTCTACATCATACCACTGGGCACCGTTTGTGATACCATCTTGGAAGGTCTCTCCCTCCTCGCCAGGGCAATTGGGTTTGCCAGTCCTCATTATGGGGTGATGCGACGCGTAAGCTTTTGCCAAATATTTGAACACTTCATCATCAGCTGATTTACTGTAGACTCCTGTGGGCTTATGCGTGGGAGAGTCATCATAGGGATAGCTTGCGACCACTGAGCCACCGTGGAGATTGCCAGAGAGGAGAAACCTGGGGTTGGGAAGGAGAAGAAGAGAGTCATACTGGAACAACTTAAATGGGAAGACGGCTACAGCCGCCCAACCAGTTATTCTGCTGCCTTCCCACCCAAACCGTGTTCTCAGGAGCCTCCAAACTCTATTTGGGATCGACAAGGCAAAACGCCGACTGGACGAGCGGCCCAGCAGAAAGGCTACTTTGGAAGAGGCAGTGATCAGAGTCTCCTCCATCAGCCCTGTGCGGGGAGAATGCCTGTGGAGCTGCAGCTACGCCAAGGCTACCTTAATAGATACGCACTTGCGCGACACAGAAGGGGCTACTGTTGGACAAAGAGATATGCCGTCCTGGGAGACGCATCCCCTTGGATTAACAGCAGCCTCCAACACAGCGAGCAGGACTGTCAGAGGGGCTGAACAGCGTCCAAGTGGCAGCACGGTGGGGAAGTCAGCAGATTTTTGCAACAAACCAACTCTCAGGACTGGTTTATTCACTCCCCAAACTGACATCTGGCATTACGGGAGACGCAACAAGTTTCTTGCTTCAGCCTAAGAAGGAGCCCTCAAACTCGGTGACAGAGAAGCAGTGCGCTGCGATGTACACGGCTCTTCGTCCAGCTTTGAGCAACACCTGGTATGTACCACGGAACTGACTTGCATCAATAAATCTGGATGTGTGACAGAGCTGTTAAAATCCCAAGCCAGAGAATATAGCACAGCACGCCCTATATCACACTTTAATTTGATCACAGGCAGCATAAGCGTTTCAATGAATCCCAAAGGGAGTTGTCTCTGCTCTTTCTCTTTCCACCAAATAGAGCATGGAAGGGGAAAAGAGCTCTCCTTCTCATTCAGTCAAATGGGATTTAGTTTCTGAGCAGAGGTAACGTGACCAATGCCTTTGCCTTGCTTAAAATAGTGCACACGAATTGCATTACACCCACTCCACTATCTCTTATTTTAACCAAACAGTTCTGTTTACTCATTCGTTTTTCTATCGGTGGTTATGTTAGTTTAACAATCGTACCGGCATTACCTGGTGCTGCCAGGCAGAGCGATGCACAAAGCATCGCGTTCCTCCTCTTTCACCCCGGCTTACCTGCAAATACCTGCATATTTTTTGCAAACACTTGCAAAAAAAATAAAAATAAAAAGCCCAAGGTATTTTCAAAATTACATTAAGAACGTGTGTGAATTTACCTAATAACTAATTTTGAGTTGAACCAAGTCTGGAGGGATTTTGATGTAAACTGCTGCATCAGAGCTGTCCTAAAGGATCCTTAGGACAAGCAATTACCGGTGCAGTTCATGAAATTCCTCTAGAGCAATAACCGCCATCCATCACGTTTGTCCAAGCAAATTATGTCCCCTAAAACTGAGCAAACATTACACAATGCTGAACATTGTGTGCGTTGGTTGGAACCAACCAACAGCCCTACAGTGCACCGTGGCCATCGGCCATCCCCTCTCCGTTTCTCTCTATCCCCGTTTTGGGAAGAGGGCCACAGTTCCTCTCAGTGCGTTGCTCATATCCGATCACACTTCGCATTTTGGCTTTTTCTGCACAACTTCACATGGTTGGTTGCACTGACCTTAGTGGTTTGGACCTTCCACAGCTCTCTAAAGAACGCACAGCACAGGAAGAGACAGTGCCCATCTTGGTCGCTGTGCTTCCCGGGGCTGCCCAGGGCCCCGAAACAGAGCGGGGCTTCCCAGGCACCGTCTCCCCTCCCCGGGCTGCCCTGCTCCGGACACAGCAGCTTCCCACCGTTCATCCCCCAGGAAGGTGAGAGCCCAACGCGTCAGCGTGGGCGCTTAAAGCCCAGTCCTGCATTCTTTGACAAGGAGGACAGATGGGGAAAGGGGCCACAGGAGTAGGGACTGTATTTGAAAACGCTGCCGCAGAGAGTGTTATTGCTAAATCCAGGGAATTTTCCATGAAACACGAAGACGGGGGGGAAGCCCTGCTCAACACAATTCTCTGTTTACATGTCTGTACACTGAAGTTATACACTTAACCCCAAATATTCTAAGCAGCCCACAGCTCATGGTGAAAGCATTATCGGCCCCAAGAGCAAGACCCACAGAGAAACTCAAGACGAAGCAGATGAGAAGCTTCCAGCTGTGGACTCCTGGAGAAGTGAGACACACAGATGACCATGGAGTGCCCGGGTGTGTGCAGGGCACGGGCTGTACCCAGCAGGGCTAGCGTGGCTCCTTGGCAGGTGCATGGCAAACTGTGGCCACTGAACCACTGTCCCACACATGCCGGCCAGCACAAGGTTTAGCCCGGACGCTGGGTGCAGGATTGTCCCTGGGTGCAAAAATGGGCCAAGCCAGCGCAGGAGACAGGCTGGGGAGAAACTGGAAAGATGGGGAGGGCCTCTCTATCAGGGACTGTAGCAATAGGACGAAGGGGAATGGTTTTGAATGGAAAGAGGGGAGATTTAGATCAGATATTAGAATCATAGAAAGCTTTAGGTTCTTCCTAATACCTAATCTAAATCTCCCCTCTTCCAGTTTGAAGCCATTCCCCC